TGTCCTTTGACTTTCCTCTTTTCCGCTTCCCTTCACGATTCCAAGTCTCGTGATGCAGTTTGATGATTTTCTCAACGAGTGTCCAATCCATTTCCATCGTCTTTTCCTAATTTACTCTTCAGCTGGAAGCTGGTTTGTTCTCTTCCGTAAAAGGCTGTTGCTGACGGTATCTGGCCAATCGATGTTGAGTATCTTGCGTAGACAACTATTTATAAATACCTGTAAATTCTTGATGATGGTTGCAGCAGTTCTCCAACTCTCAGCTCCGTACAGTGGAACTGCCTTGACGTTCGTATTGAAGATTCTCATTTTGATATTGGTTGAAAGTTGTTTTGAGTTCCATATGTTCTTCAATTGTAGGAATGTGGCCCTTGCTTTGCCAATCCTCACCTTTACGTCTGCATCTGATTCTCCTTGTCCATCGATGATGCTTCCCAGGTACGTGAACGGTTCTACGTCTTCCAGAGTTTCGCCATCACGTATGATTGGATTGGTGTTCCCCGTGTTGTATTTGAGGACCTCGGTTTTCCCTTTGTGTATGTTGAGGCCTACTGATGCAGAGACTGCTGCTACACTGGCTGTCTTCAACTGCATTTGTTCGTGTGCATGAGATAGGAGGGCTAGGTCATCTGTGAAGTCCAAATCGTCTAATTGATTCTGAGCTGTCCATTGTATTCCGTGTTTTCCTTCAGATGTTGAGGTCTTCATAATGCAGTCGACCACCAGAAGAAAGAGGAAGGGAGAGAGTAAACAGTCTTGTCTGACTCCAGTCCTTACTTGGAATGCATCTGTCAGCTGTCCTCCATGCACGACTTTGCACTGTGGTCCGTCATATGAGTTCCGAATAATGCTGACAATCTTCTCAGGAACTCCGTAGTGTCGAAGAAGTTTCCATAATGTCCTCCTATCTACACTGTAAAAGGCCTTTTCATCATCGATGAAGTTGATGTATAGTGACGAGTTCCACTCAATTGACTGTTCGACGATGATCCGCAGTGTCGCAATTCGGTCTGTGCACGACCGATCCTTACGGAATCCAGCTTGTTGATCTCGAAGTTGGGCGTCTACTGCGTCTTTCATCCGGTTCAGCAACACTCTGTCGAAGAATTTCCCTGGTACTGACAGTAGTGTGATGCCTCTGTAGTTTTCACATTTGCTCGGATCTCCTTTCTTTGGAATTTTGATGAGGTGTCCTTCTTTTCATTCAATCGGCACTTGTTCCTCCTCCCAAATCTTCTTGAATAGAAGGTGAAGCATGTTTGTAGTTACTCCGATGTCTGACTTTAGTGCTTCAGCTGGTATATTGTCGGGTCCTGCTGCTTTCCCGCTCTTGATATGTCTGATGGCCATTCTGATTTCTTCCGTCGTTGGTGGATTGACATCTATAGGAAGATCTGTGTGTGGTGCTACGATGTCCGGTGGATTCATTGGGGCCGGCCTATTCAGGAGTTCCTCGAAGTACTCTACCCATCTGTTCCTCTAGTCTTGAATTTCATTGATTGGCCTGCCTTCTTTGTCCTTCATCGGTCTCTCTGGTTTACTATATCTCCCTGCTAGTTTCTTCGTTGTATCATAAAGCTGTTTCATATTTCCTTTTGTTGCAGCTTTCTCCGCCGTCGTTGCTACTTCTTCCACGTATTTCTGTTTGTCGGTTTTAATGCTCTTCCTCACTTGCTTGTTTGCTTCTATGTACTCAGCTTGTGCTTGGATTTTCTCTGCTCGTGTTCGGCTGTTGTTAATTGCTGTCCTCTTGTTCTTCTTCTCTTTGATCCTGTTCAGTCTTTTAATAGAGATCCATTCCTCATGATGATGCTTTTTGAGGCCCAGAACCTCTTGACACGTTAAAGTTAACGCTTCTTTGATACCTTTCCAGTTGTCCTCCATAGTAGTTTCTTCTTCCTTCAGTAGATCCTGTAAGGCTTAGAACCTGTTGTTGAGAGACATCTTGAATTTATTAGTAGGCTGTTAGAAGACTGTATTGAACCTTTGAAGTGCTGTTTGTCCAGTTCTTCTTTGGCTTCAGTTTTAAATTGGCCACAACAAGGTGGTGATCTGAAGCTATGTAAGCTCCTCTCCTGCTTCTCACATCTTCCATTGTTCTTCGGAACTTTTTATTGATGCAAATATGATCTATCTGGTTCTCTGTGGTGCGGTCCGATGAGATCTATGTAGCTTTGTGTATACGTTTGTGTGGAAACATTGTGCCGCCTATGACCAGTTTGTTGGATGCACATAGATTTGCGAATCTTTCCCCATTTTCGTTTCTCTCTACTAGTCCATGTCGTCCCATGATATCTTCATATCCAGTGTTGTCTATTCCGACTTTGGCGTTTAGACCTCCCATCAGAATGGTAAGGTAAAACTGATGTTTGTCGTCGTCATTGCTATCATTGGTGGGTGCATAGCGTTGGATAACATTCATTGTAATTCCCTCCTTCTTTGTTTTGAATGACACTTTGATGATTCAGGACCCGTGAGATTTCCATCCTACAGCATTAGAACAACTCCCTGAGTGTGTGGAGCATTTTCCTATTCATGACCGGAGTATAGCAGCGCCTTTCCCGTATCTAGCCTTTGCTAACCAGCTTGGGTCCAATGGGTTTCGCTGATTCCCAGTACTGCCAATTCGGATCTCCTCATTTCCGTTGCTATTTGACTGGTCTTCCCGGTCTCCCTCATTGTCTGGACGTTCCATGTACCTAAATAAATGGTTGATCTGGTTGTTAGAAGTTGCATCGGCCTCGTGACTCCCGAAGGAACTCGGCTTTCACCATGAGGCGCCATAGTTGTTCTAAATGAAGACCTTCTGACTCCCAGGGCTGAGTTTAAGTGGTTTGAATTATGTTTTTTGGTTAGCGTTTCTTTAGAGAGTTAGTTTTCTACGGGATGAGGTCGCTAACACCATCCAAAACTCTCCTGCTTTACCCGGGCTTGGGACCGACAGTAACTTTAGAAGAGCTACAGGCAGAGTTGAACGTTCAGTACGGGATTATTTTTTAAAAATCTCAATACAATTGTCTGGTCAAGTTGCGAATTTTTAAATTATCTCAATAAAATTCACAAATTCATCAGTGGTATATAGATAGTAGAGTGAAGAGGACTTTATCAGAGTAAATGGGATGAGTTTGTCTGTAGGTATTTTCTTCTCCGAGCTGGATGGTTTAAACGCGAAGCTTTCATTATCTTTCTCGATAACATCATCAGGATTTACTTCATTAAAGCGTGATTTGAGTTTTGTTGAGAACAATAACGTTCTTCTGTAGTTCCGAAATTATATTGTTCAGCAAAATTAAACAGAAAATAATAATCATACTTCCGCAAGTGACTGGATTAAAGACAACATTCTATAATTTTGATGAGAAGTTCCAAGTGATGGATTTAAAGCATATCTAATCTGAGGAGGATTTATCAATAACGATGGATGGTTTTTGTTTTGGTTATAAATCGACAACATTTAAGAATGTGGGCCAAAGGCTTCCAACTCAGCAGTCTAAGTCGGTTTATGCGATTTGTAGAAATTGTTGAATTTTATAGTTTGCTTGACGAGAATACCTTGTTTAAATAACAATTGAAAATCAGGAAGGAGTGGAAAGTTGCTTCGTCCTAAAATTAGACATCTCAGCGACTCACAATTTGAACTTTGCACGAGATCAAACACAAGGATCTCAAATCTCAGTAAAAGCTTGAAAATAAGACCATTGTGTTGGCAATCACTGATTCGTATGTTTAACTCCAACCCAAACTCTTCCCAATACCACTAGTGCATAACTGCCACATATCCAACAGTATTGAAATTTAATAGTCGTGAGTTCTCGTTAGTCAAAAGTCAACTCTTTAAATTCAAACATTGGCAGTATCAAGGATGTGTGTTCGGAACATATTAGTGCTAGGAACAAGCAGTAATCTCGCGCTTCAGGATTTTCAACAGCTTGTCAGCTAAATTCAGTCCATGACGAAAATTCTACTGAGAAGCTTGCTTTGAACTCAAAGCCCCAAATACCCTGGTACGGTCGATGGTGGAGAGGATCCACTCTCTCGAAATGCTCTCACATGGCCTCGCGTATACAGCTACCGACAAGTAAGTCCTACTCACTGCCATCTCGACGTGTATCCCTATCCTTCCGAACACTTGCGGATCTGTTTAGCCGAACAGCACGTAGGCGACTGTCGATAGGGATCCATTCTAAAAGGGCTTCTTCTGACCTCATACTTAGTGCTATGCTTTTACCCGCCAGTGCACGAGAACTTGCTGCCTAGTCGTCAGATAAACGGAGTGTATATCTTGTCGGCTTTCCGTTTTGGTTAGAATGAACACACTAGGATCCTGTGTGTGTTTCGGAGACTTAACAAGTCTCTTTATAAATCAAACAAATTCTACCAAAACCTGTCTTAATATTTTTCACATCAAAAAATAATTTGATTAGAAATGTAGTTAAAAACACCACGAATGTGCGTCACCTCTGGATGTCGTGTGATATAAGCGTGTGAATTGCAAACGTTAAATAGTAGTATATGAGGTTTGACTTAAGCATGAGATTTAGAACCAGTCTGAGAGGTTCTAGCAATAACATCTCCATTAAATCCGAAGGTTTTAAAGTGATACAAAGAACTAAGTTCATCCTCAAGAGCATTGTGTTAGTACTAGATTGGCATGGAAAAATGATGGAACTGATACTAACTGAGATTCAATTAGGTATCCGCCCCAACAAGAAAAAAGAACTAAATATAAGTGACGTTGTGGAAGCTGAGAAAATTCTGCTAATGAGGTACATTGACAACACACTCCTATATAACCTCTTAATACTTTTTTTATTTGTATCAAATGTAAACTGTACATTATGATTTCAGTAAATTACAGTAATACAATTGTCAACCATTGACAATTATACATAAAGCAATGTAGATTCGTTGATTTAAAAAAAGTTTAGTGGGAAATTTAAGAAAAGAACTTGAAGGCAAACAGTTAGTTAGAGAACGATAAAGAAATTAAAATTTAAAAATTAAAATTCTTTTGGTGGAATCAACACATCAAGAGCAGTGTTTGTGCGTCTTTTCGATAATTTCTTTTTTGTTACTAAAGCTTCACTAGGTCTCGGTAATGTGCTTATATCATTGATTTTTTTGTAAGAAACTTTTCGTCGTAACTTCTCTTCCGCTTCCCGTACACCTAAAACTTCTTTGATAGTAAACATTTTACGTTCAAAGTGTATATTTTGCTTTTTTGCCTCGATTCGGCCAGGTTTTGATCTACCTTTTTGTTTATTTCGTTTAATAGCAGGTGTATCGACTTTGGGAACTTGTCCAAGCTAAAATTGACAGTAAAAGATTATATATATCAGTGAATTATAATGATAATGATCAAGAAGCCGGATAAGTTTTGATGGAAGTGAAAATGATAATAGGCATACAACTTTTACTATAAACTAGTAAATTCTAACGCTTCTTCAACCAGTTGGATTTTAAAATAACTTCGAATTTGATTCCTAGAAACCAACGATTACAAACTTCAGTATGTCTGACAGCAAAAGAACTATGAACATGGACAACTGATACATGTCCATGCTGAATTGATTTCTCCCACTACAATTTGGGTGTTCATTATTTAATTTATTTATGTCAACAACAAGATAAACACTTTCTTATTGAATGGAGACTATGCTAGATGACAATTCACTCTGTAATTCGTTATTCTTGTGATAAATTGACTTTAAAAGTAGGAGAAATGAGTTGACTGTCAAATGTCGCTAAAGCGTTGTTTAATTATGGTGAAACCATTGAATAAATGATGCCGATAGTCAGTGTAGAATACTAGGTGTAAGCCTTTATCGATTAAATTGGGTAGGAAACATGTTAAACGAGCGTGATCACCACTTATCACAGTGCACAACGTCAGCTGGGAAAGCAGTAAATTAGGACAGAAATAATAAAAACATACTATAACTAATATAACTGACAATTTACCATCATAATAGAAAGCTAAAATCTACAAAAGTGAAAATTGCTATATACTTTTTTAGTTACCAAAGAAACATTTCCGATCAAATAAATAAATAAAAGCAATTAAAATAAAACAGATTAACTTACTAATACAGCTTTCTTCTTTTCCCATTCTTCTAAAAGGTCTTCACGACGAACTTCACCAACGATTGATTTTAATGAAATCATTGTATATGGAATCTGTTTGTAATAGTACAGTAAGTAGTTTTTTAATGATTCTATTAGGTGAAACACATGTGAGTTTGTGAAAAGTTATAATCAATGGTTGTTTCACTGATTAAGATACTATCCTGCTTAAAAAAAACTTTTATTGACTATTTATAGGGATTGGTGTAGTGTTACGATAAGATTAGTTGCATGTTATATTGTTTTACATTGGTGTAAGCTTTGAAATTTTAACCAAGATGTCATTAGTTGAAATTAAGTTGATGATCATTCGATTGACGTCACCATTTTGAAACATCAACTTCGGTGCCTTGAACATGTACTAAAAATTTCGTCCCAGTGAATTACACGTCAGGCATTATATGCAGACGCTGAAACTGGTTAGAAAAAGAGCAGAGGTAGTCAGTAGTATGAAAGAAAGCTGTACAGGACCGATATCTGTCGATTCTTCAAGACTCCCTAATTGAGGTCATATAGTGCGACACAGTGGTTTGAGATATTATCAAATATTACTTAGAATAGAAGCTAGTGGTAGTCCTGCTGTAATTTTCTCTTATTCCCTCCATGTAAGTGAGGGGAACTTCTATAGCCGAAAGAATCCTACCTGGTTATACTTCTCCTAACTGAACTGCTTCTCCCCTTATTATTATTATTATTATTATTAATTCACTCTCATACACTAATTTCTATTCATTTTCTTTTTTTCCATTACATTCACCTTCCTTTTTCTAACTCAACACAATCTAATTTTTATTGTGGTGCATTTATATTTTGGTGTTCATTTGTGCCAATGTCTATGCGCTCAAATAAAATAAAAACGTTTTTTATGTAATATCTAGATATTAAATAGTTCCCAAACCTGTGCCTACTTGTGGAGTATGTAAACAGTTCGATTGGTATCAACATGTCGTGGAAATTCCTACCAAACTTACTCAGAAATATTTATTCCATTAAAGTTAGTCTATAAATCTAATTACTCTACGGATATTAACCTCATAATTGAAACCAGCTTTTGATTTAATATGATAATAGCTTCCACGACAATACGGATTAGATTGTAAGGTACCAAAAAAACAAGTAGAAGCATATTAGTCTTATCTATGATTAGATAGCAATATACCCAGAATAAACCAATCATCAATAATTTGGAAATATAAAAATCATTAAGACCTTCGTTAAGTAGTCCTTGGATTCTTTTAAGTTATTTGTTTTGCATCGGTTTACAGTAACTAAATTCCTTACACGAAATGTAAAAAATTTTTACTTGGTAATCCCTACATTTACTATCATTACTATTATTTAAATGCTTGTTTTCGATATTCCGATATGCAATCACTTCTTTTTTGAATTTTATGGTAACATATATTTATTACACATGAACACATTCATTAGCAATTTACACACAATTGAATTAAAAAAGAAATGATAGGAATAAGAAAGCTTATATAAATTATATTAGTATAGAATAATTAAGTCGAAGAATTTTACCTCCTTGTGTTTTTCTTTAGTAGGACACTTTAGGGGTCAGTATAATATAATAGGACTATAATTTACTAGAAAAATCATAAAATACGCTTATGTCCTACTAACGTTGGTACATTTAATAAACAATAGTACTCGATGAAGTTCAATCTCCTGGTAGAAGACGAAATAGGTGGTCGTTGAATTAGTGATACGTCACTAATTCTTCTGGAATCTAAGTACTATTTCATATTTGGCAGATTCTGAACATCTTACCAGAAAGAATTTTAGATTTAGTAGGTTTCTTCGGCAGATGGTTGATAAGGTAATCCTGTGGATTTTCAACTAATGAATACTCTCAAGTTGCTCGTAACCCTCTGATAACATTGCTTTGTGTTGGTAAGTATGTATTCACAGAATTTATTTAATTCAATGGAACCAAACATATTTACAACTAAAGTCGAACTGAATTAAAATTCCAAAACCAGTTTTTAATATTAAGAAATTACATTGAAACAAAGTTTATGAACACACATATATGAAGAATATACTTGAGAAAAACATAGAACTATTAACGAAACTAACAAGTAGATATGAAAACACGTGAACAATATTACCTTATCCAAAAGTCGTTTAACTTCCCTTTCTTGCCTATAACGTTTATTGGCAAAAGGATTTTCTTCTAAACCATCATAATTAGGTTCGGCGCTCCCAGGACAAAGAATGGATGAAATCCCAGCGGAACTACCTACTCCTAAAACGTCTTCATAAGGACAAAAGCGTACACGATAAACTGGATGAACCGCATAGTGAGAAAGATAAGCATTCGAAATTACTCGTCGGTTAACATTAGGTGAAATGGTTTCAAAGATTTTTGATGCATTGGACGGTGGAATGGAATGGGGGTCACGTAAAATCTTTTAAAAGTAAAAAGCGATTTATGCAGAAATTAGACAAAAGAAGTACGTGTATACTACCTAAGATTCACATAAACAAAATGAAAGCCCTTCTAAATGATAAAAGCAAATTTCAGAAACTGGCTGTGAAAAACGACATAGCAGACAAGATCGAAAAACAACTAACTGATTCACTGAAAGAAATTAAACAACGAGGTTTTATTTCAGAAAAGATGTTCGAAATGTTGAAACCTACAGGAACAATTACACCAAGACTATATGGCCTACCGAAAATAAACAAAAGTGGCTTGCCCCTTAGACCAGTATTAGATATGAATAACTCAGCGTATCATAATTTAGCAAAATGGTTGGTGCAAATTCTTCAACCATTACACAAAGAAATTGTCAGACATAGTGTCAAAGACTCCTTTGAATTTGTGGAGAACATAAAAAATCTATCAGTCAAAAATAAATTCATGATATCACTTGACGTATCATCATTATTCACTAATATTCCACTACTCGAAACGGTTGAATATATTTGCAATGAACTAACGGCGAGACGCATAGAAACCCCGATTCCCGCATGCGCGATAAAACAGTTAATTCTTAGATGCACTATGAACGTCCAATTCAGATTTGACAATGAATACTATAGACAAGTAGATGGAGTCGCCATGGGATCACCATTGGGCCCTCTACTGGCTAATATTTTCCTTGCAAAACTGGAAAATGGACCACTTAAAAGTACAATTACCCATTTACCAACTTATTATCGCTATATAGATGATACCTTCATAGTATTAGAAAAAGAAAATGATAAGCACAATTTACTTAATATATTTAATAACGTTCACCCATCAATTAACTTCACATCAGAAGATGAACAAAATAATAGCATATCTTTTCTAGATGTCCAACTAACTAGAAGAACAGATGGAACTATAAAAAGAAGAGTACACAGAAAGTCAGCAGCTGGTCAATACACTCATTTCCACAGTGCAGTTCCAATCAGATACAAAAGGAACTTAATAAAGATCTTGACACATCGTGCTAGAATGATCTGTTCTGAAGACACTATTGAAGATGAATTGAACAATATTTGGAACCTACTCAGTCTGAATGGGTACCCAATGAAATTCATCGAAAAACATATAACGGAGAAGAAAACAAGGACAAAAATACCCACTGTCCCCAAGAAGGTATTATTCATAAAACTACAATTCATAAATGACACCATTGAAGAAGTCATGACTCAGAAACTAAGAAGAGCGGTACAAAAAACATTTAATGCTGCCAAATTAAATGTCATCTTCTACAACCACCCGAAAATAAGAACATCCATTAAGGACAGACTGCCAGAATTCGCCAAATCTATGTGTATCTATCGTTTCAACTGCTCCTGTGGAGCCAGTTACATAGGGCGTACAATTCGACAGGTCCGTCACCGCATTACAGAACATCATCCAACATGGCTAAGCAAAGGACAGGTGAAAGTGATTAAAAGTTCTATTCTCTCTCACTTGGTTGACACAGGTCATCAAGTCGAAGTGAATAAAGCTTTTAAGGTTATCTACAATATTCCATCAAATCTACCACATGGTTTACGAGTGCGCCTTTTGCACATTGCGGAAGCCATCGCGACCCATGTTCACAAACCTGACCTTTGCATCCAAAAGAAATTCGTACAACCACTTTCTCTACCCTGGCCTTCAGTATAACATTTCCGTCAGAAGAACTATTTTTCATGCTTCTTCCATTTTTATTTTAATTTTAAAATTTTTGTAATTTTGTTTCTATCGCTTTTGAGCCTTATAACTTCTCAACATTCATCTCTTGATTCTTACGTAACTACTATCCTATTGACCATCCGGTAAAATTCTATTCCCTCTTTGTTTCTTATATTACGCAACATAGCAACTTCTTGATTACTTTGAATATTAATAATCCTCTCTCTTCCAATTACTGAATGTTAATTTAAATGTCATTATGTAATTATTACGTAACGTATCCACTCGATGAGTATTATATTATTATTGTAAAACGTATATATATTAGTGTAGAGCCATGATGAAAAACTAATTGAAAAGAAATTTCTTCGCTCAATTCGTTTCTTCTTTATTTACCAAATGGCAAAATGGGAATTTTCACTATATTGAAATCCTTATTTTATAGATCATAATACTTCCTCACAGGCAATACTGAAATCATCGTGGGTTTATGTGAAATGGGGAATAAAATTAAACACAACCATCTACTCATGGTAAATATTACTAAGGATAACTTAATTTTATGATAACAGTAGATTTATTCCTCTTTTCAAAGCACTACTTTGGCCATATCAAATCGTAACAATAAATATTTTGTCTTTTGTCACGGCTATTATTATTCAAAATGGGAAGGACTTTTCTTAATAACAGGCAATCACAAAATAGATATACGGTCGTTAGTCATTAGTTCCAGTTTTATACACTCCTTCATATAGACAAAAGGAACAACTTCAGGAAATTAAAAATAAAAACGAGCCCGAGATTTAAACAAAAGCTTAATCCACGTACCTGCACCAATACCCAGAAGAGTTCCAACTACATGCCATAATTATCTCGTGAACTTTACTTAACGACTCCGCACATCCCGACTACGTTAGGATCTAAAGTCATAACCTCATAGACTGATATTATTTCATGGGCTGTTTGCTCCTACATGGTTCCGGTTTACGTGAGCAATGATTCTAAGACATGTATGACCAAATAATTACAACCTACACAAGTTTTATAACTTCGAAGTAACAAAAGGTAGACGTGTGTGGTGTTCAATGCCCACTACTTGCTTACTCTCTTCTGTTTGACTGGGAAATGATACCGTATAATCCAGATGCGACCCTAATTTTTGGAAGGGGAGGATCGCAACCTACAAACTCCTGTACTGTCACACAGTGCTTTGTTCAGATTATATTTCGTCAGTTTTTACCAGGCAAGGAGACGTCTTCATACAAGGTTCTAGGTAAGAGAGCGATCAGGAGAAGAAATTGTTATCCCCAAGAGTATAACCATGACAAACGGATGAAAACAAGGAAAGTAGGCATTTTGCAGTATGGTATGGTATATGGAGAAACAACCACTTGATGCGATAAGTTAAGTACTAAACTAAATCATGACCAGAAATATCATACCTGTACGGTATTAGCAGCACCCAATGCTAATAAACCTTTCTGACTGAAATTAATTGTTGAAGCAGACATAGGTAGCAAGATTTCGGAAAGAGGATCATAAGTGGATCTCAAGTCCCAAATCTTTAGTTTTCGGTCAACTCCACAGGTTGCCAAGTAGCTGGAAAGATGGATATGAAGAAAGAATAAGCTATGAGCAAATACATCGTTCAAATAGTGAGAAAAATTTAGTTTAGAGGAACACCGGTTGTTGAAATACTTTGTAGAAAAACGGTAATTCATAACCAGTCAATTTTAAACTACACGAAAGTGATTTGGCTAAGGCTAAGCGAGTGGTTTCACCAATCTAACTTTTAATCAAAGACTGTTCAAACAAAGCTTGAATAACAAACGTAGGATTCATAGCGGTTTCTAGATCAGCATAAAAATAAAAAACGCACTACGGATCTCCATAGCTGAGATAAATAGTATTATTCTATTGAATTCCTCTACTACTGGCACTAACGATGGTAAATTAGAAAGATAAGCTTGATACGTAAACGCTAATGGGGGTGGTATGCCGTTCGGAATAAAATCAACCGATCTTTGCAACACAAGTGTTTTAAATTTTACCTTCAGAAAAGGTAACTCTGCTACACATTACAACATACATAGCTTTTGACAATAACCGCAATGTATAAGGATAATTACTACAATAAGTTAGGTAACCAAAACTTGATCTTCATCAAAAGCGGTACCCATAAAACACCCTGTGTTTTGGACTGATCAGGTGTTAAGACTGAGATCGTCTAAATTCATCCACAAAACAATCAACCAAACCTAAAAGACAGATGCCAATATTATGCTTTACTGTTGAAAACTTGATCGTTTATTAAGATTATGTGGTATTTGTACGAACTAACGATTCCTTTGTACTTGACGGCCAGCTGATTACGAATTCCAAATATAATACGTTCTTTGTGCTCATCTATTCCTACTTGCTGTAAATTGCAGTAAGGTGTTTCCCTTGGGCAACCAGCATCTGCAGCGATGCTGCTTTCTCACAAGGAAGGAAGGGGTTAGAAAAGGTCGACTCTAAATATGTCACACATCACCTTACTTCATGGATTTCCGTCTCCGCTGGTAAGGCCTTTTGAGGAATAGAGCTAACACGCTAAAAGGCCGTGAGTGACCGGCCTCAAGCAGTTGTCCCTTGGGTTCTGTGGTCACGCTCCCAGGTCGTTAAGACCAACACTAATCCAACTTCCCTTTAAGGTGGTTCCTTAAGAAGTACCCTTCTACGGTGTGGGCAGCCGGGAAGTGACATGAGCCCTCATATCCCTAACAGCAGACGAGGCCAAGTTGGTCACAGTCAAATCCTTCCTACGCCTCGTAATAACTCTATCATTTCCACCGCTAACCCTCCTCACGTTACTTTATCATCCCGCACCGCTAGTGAAAACTATTCGAGTACGCGGAACGTTATTCCTGGTCTTCTGAAACTACGTTCTAAACTACATGTAGGAGATTTTAAAGTCCGAACACTGTGCCAAATAGGACAACAGGCTTCCTTAGCTAGGATCTTTAAATCTCGCGCCATCGATGTGCACTGCACTGAAAGATTTCTTCTGATTGTACCTTTTCGTTCCGTCGTTACTACCACACCTTACTCCAATCTCTTCGTCATTGTTCTCTTTTTCTTTTGCGTTCCCTAGTTTTTTTTTCTTTCTATTTCTCTTCGAATTTTCATTGTTTTGTGTGGCGCATATATATTGGCGCTCTCTTGTACCAATATTTATGTGTTCAAATAAAAATAAAAATAAACTGCGCCTCCGTAACGCTTATACAGAATCAGAGTAGCGTCGTTCATTTGACCTCACCATATCAAAATAAAGAATCATCTCGATTCACACTTCGTGTATCTCGAAGCCCCGATGGTGCTTCCCGTGGCCTCGCTGGCGTAGGTATAGCATTGAGTCCTAGGGTAGAACTAGCTCTCTTAGACTGGATCTCAGTAGACAGTCGTTTATGCACTGTCCAACTAAACGGAACAATTAGGACTCGGAAAAGTAGGGACACTCGTTGTCTCTGCCCACTCTCCCACTGACTGCAGCTCAGATGATGTAAAAGATGAGCTGTACAGAGAGCTTTCCGACCTCCAAAACGTTAGGCGCTCCGATGCAGTAATAGTGGCCAGTGACTTTAATGCTCAAGTAGGTAAACTAAGCGAAAAGGAAAGACACCTGGATGAACCTTATGGTGTCGTGACTCAAAGAACAGATAATGGCGACCGTCTGTTGCAGCTATGCTCAGATAACCGCCTGTTTCTTGCAAATACTAGCTATTAGCAAAAGGAAAAACACTTTTTGGCATGGCGACCCCTGATCACATCGCTATCAGACACCGATGGAGGAGCTCGATAGAAGACTGTCGGTCGTTCTGGAACACATGCTTACATTCAGATCATGTTCTAGTGCAAGCGCGTATTTGTCTGCGTCTTACTGAACGTAGGAAAGACACTGCAAGGAAACCTCTTACGGTCCTACTTAATGATAGCCAAGCTAGGAATATATTTCAGGAACGACTAGAAAAAGTTAGGCAGCCATGTAAGTGATGCCCATCCCGAGGCAGCGTGGAATGATATCCGGAAAGCTGTGGGAACAACAGTGATATCTGCTAGTAAGGTAAACCATAAGGTTAAGGAGAAACACGGGATCTCAGCAGCATCCACCGCACTGATAGATGCTCAAAAACTCGTCCCATCTGGCTCTGAACATGACGAAGAGCGGAGTCAGCTTAAGCGCAGGCTGGCAAGAAGCCTACGCAATGATCGCGAACAGTGGTGGGCAATAGACAACGGCAGACAACTATTCAGACTTTTCAAGGAAACCGGTGTTAAGAATTCAACTGTTAGCGAAACCATCTTGGAAAAAGATGGACATATTATACATTCTCAATCAGGGAGATTGGATCGATGGGCAGAACACTTTAGGGATCAGTTCAACTGGCCTTCAGCCACATTTCAGTTTCCCAAGATCTCCAGTCGACCTGAATGGCGAGTTCTCCAACTCTTTACGAAGTTTAAAAAGCTGTAGGAAATCTGAAGCGTGGGAGAGCAGCAGGCCCTGTCAGGTTTACCCCTAAGATTTATAAGGATGGAGATCCAGTATTGGCAGTGAGATTGACTGAACACATAAATATTGGTACAAAGAGGCACCATATATATATATATATATATATATATATATATATATATATATGCGCCACATAATAATAAGAATGAGAATGTGAAGATATAACGAATGTAAGGTGCGCATAAGAAAAAGGGGAACAATAACGAAGAGGAATTAGTGCATGAGATTGAAATAATAATAATAATAATGTGAGAGACAGTTCAATCAGTAAAAGTACAGTCACAGAGAATTCTGCCACTTAAAGAAGTTACGCATTTTTTTATGAAGGAAGTAAATAAAGTTACAGCATGATCTCTACTGGCTTCCATCCTGAGCCATATTTGATAACGCCTCTAGCCACTGTGTTGCACCATCTTTAAGTCCCCACCAGGGGGTCGTGAAGGACCGATAGAAGCCAGTCCTGTACCGTTTTCTTTCATACCGCGACAACATACACTGACCACCTCTCCGCTCTTTCCAACCAGTCCCAGCGTCGGCAAATTATGCACGACGTGGAATTCTCTGGGACGACATTCGTAGAACATGTTCAAGTCACCGCAGTCGATGTTTCAAGATGGTGACACTAATTGCATTATCGTCTCTGTCCCCGAACACACGATGCCGAACCTCTGCATTACTAACATGGTGCTACCACTGGATGTCAGCAATCCTTCGGAGACAATGATGATTAAACACAGAGTCGTCTAACATCCTCAACTCGGAGAGGCCAGGTTTCACAAGCATAGAGCAAAACTGCTCTCACCGACGCGTTGTTGATCCGACCTTCTATAGCCAAACTAGCATCACGAGGGCGCCGAAGATGGCCCAGATTGACATAAGCCGCTCTGGCTTTAATTATACGTGCATTGATCTCATCACTCATGCCACCATCAGCACTTATGCAGCTACCCAAATACACAAACTTCTCGACTACTTCTATATGCTCACTACCCAGAGTGAGTGCAGTATCAGGGTCCTACCAGTCTTGTAAAAGTACTTTCCACTTAGAAGGTGCAAAGCACATACCATACCTACGGACAATAACATCCGCATACTCAAGGTCGAGGAGTCTTTCTCCAGGCAACAGATCCACACAACCATTACTTGCATCCATCAAAGCTGTTCCCAGAACGTCGTCGATAGCAAAGTTGAGGATGAATGGTGAGATTGGCCAACCCTGCCTAGCCCCATTGATTGAATGGAACAATGGAGAGAGGTGGTTATGTGCCTTTACTCTGCCTGAGGTGTCTGTATATAGGGCTTTTAAGATGTTAATAAACTTCTCAGACACACCCTTCTTCAATAGACAATCCCAGAGAACAATCCGGTCCAAAGAATTGAAGGAAAACCTTATGTCAAGAAACATTACGACTGTTGGCCTGTGATAAGTATGATGGTGTTCTAACATTTGGTGGAGGGTGAATATATGATCAAAACATCCTCGACCAGAACGAAAACCAGCCTGCTTCTTGCTAGTCAATCTTTCTCGGATTTTGAACAATCTACCAAGAATGACGGAAGCCAAAAGTTTGGACGCAATCGGAAGTAGACTCATTCCCCGATAGTTCTTGCATAGATGATGTGAACCTTTTTTAAAGATAAGGACGATTATCGACTCATTCCATGACGTTGGTACATTGTCTAACTGCCGAACCTTTGTGAAAAACTCAGACAGTTCCTTAACTAGAAAGTCACCATCATCTTTAAAAAGGGCCGGAGGTAAGTCATCTGGATCCAGTGATTTGTAGCGCTTCAAGAGTTGGAGTTCTTTGCGAACTTCCGCCTCATTTGATGGATCAGTCGTCACGGACCATGGAGGGCAGGACAGTGTGATCGATGTTACTGGGGCAGCAGACTAGTTGAACTGCTCCTCGAAAAACTCTGCCCATCGTCCAAGACGTCATTTGATGTTATGTTAGTGACCGGCATCCCGTCATCTTCACAGATTGTTTCGCTTACACCAGACTTCGTGCTGCCAGTGGCTCGGATGAGTTGAAAGAGCTTCCGGCAGTTACCAGGTGCGGTTTCTGCTTCCAACTCATTAGTGCGTTCCGACCACCAGGCTTCTCGGTCCTTACGCAAGCTTTGCCTAATCTCATTACGTAACAGTTGTCGTTTATGGTCAAACCC